TATCCGGTGGAACGTAGTACGCCGTTCAACGAGATCTCCCGACGGCGCGTTTGAGATATTTAGACCGGCTTTTATTACCGGGGTAAGCTCTCGTTGTTTCGCACACACTACAGTCAGTACCGGTTGTCCCTCCCGAGCCCGAGGGCGCAACGGTTAAATTCCAGCGGGCGTTCTCGCGTGGCGGAATGTCTCCCCGCGAGATCCCCGAGTAAAGGAAGAGCTTGGCTCCTTAACCGATCGAGGAGAAGATGGAGAACACGAGAGGAAAAGAGAGATAGGGAGACTCGCCTGAGTGAGACCTTCCGGGAAATTGGATTGGCATTTTGTTCTTTACGAGCGTCCGCGAAGCCGCCATGGTTCTACAAGGTAGAACGTTCCTGTCGGAAGACCGGGCACGCGGTTATACAGGGTGGACACACTGTTCTACGGATGACGGAACACACGGTTACACCGGTTTAAGTGAGACGGTTCTATCTGACTTTGAAACTTCAATCTCGTTCTGTAGAAACGTTTACTTGTTACTTTAACGAAAAACTATTATAGTTTCAGTCATACTATTGACGTTTATATACGATGTTTTCTTGCCCTAATACATATGTATTATTGTACACGATATAATTATACAGGGACGTCAGAACAAGATGAAAAATAATTTAAATCAAGATTGCACATCGATAGAAACGGGCATGAGTGATTCTATTCTTTTCTAAGTAATTTTAGTCAACTATTGCATCGTTTTCCTAAGACGATTCTGTGCAATCCTGGAGACGTTCTACGGCAAGTCACATGCCACCTACGTTCAGTTGCTACGTTATAACTTTTAGCCAGGGAAAATTATACCCGAGCATTGAACAGATTATTAGCATTAAGTAAACGTTGTCGGAAGATGAAATGCGCGGTTATACAAAGTGAAATACATATATGAAAGACGGGCTATAATACGGAATGAAACGTTGCTATTGAAACAGAAGATACGCGCTCTTTCATTTCGTGAATCCAGAAACGTAATAATGGCTCTCGCGCGCCTTGGTATCCATTTCCAATCTAGCAAGCTCCCGAACTTTATCTCTCGCGTGTGGATTTGAATCTCAGTCTAAACACGCTGATGCAGCGAATGATACTTTCGTTGCGAAATACCGGAGCCAATCTCTAATAACAGGTTGCCAGCGCGGTTCTGCTTCCGATTCTTTCGTTGGTTTGAAGAGAACTCCGGGCATTGCGTGAATCGCGCGAAAAAAAAGAGAGAGGGAGCGGCAGAGACACGCATCATCTCTCGTTTCCAAGCGTCACGAACAAACGCGGAAAAGGAAAAAAAAAAAAAAAAAAGAAGATACGAACTACCCAGCGCGACCCGCTCGAAAGATACGAACTACCCAGCGCGACGCGCTCGATCCGATTGGATCGGAATTGTCGGCTAGGCACGCTTTTTGCATGGCGCGTGCAGCAGGAAGCGCATGATTTGTGCCGACAATCGCGACACGTGGGCGTATGTATATCGCCCGGGAATACGGTCCGGGTTCGCGATTCGAGTTCCTCCAGATAGCCAGGGCTGTGCAGCTGCCTCGCTCGCTTGCCTTGCTATCCTACATCCTAGCTTGCTCGCGCCGAGCTATCGTGAACGAGAAGACGGCAGACGGAGAATCGTTCTTCCTATCCTTCCAAGTTCGATGACTCTCGGCGATGATCATCGCGAGGGGGCAAACGTCCTCCTCTCCCCTGCCTTCCCGCTCCCCGGTTCTCACTGCCTGGGTTCCTTCGCGCTTCGTCGCCCCCTGCGCTCCTTCTCTTCCTCCTCCTCCACCACCACCTCCTTCTGCTTCGTCCTTCTCCTTTTCCTCTCGATGATGCTCCCTTCTCTCCTCCTTCGTCTTCTCCCCGCGGGTACCCTACGCTCGAGTTATCATAACCGCCGCCATCCGTCATGCATCACTTGCCACTTTGTGCCCCGAAGAATCCTCTCGCCGCGGCACGACAATCGCGCGCGAATCCACTGGAGAATCGACGCCGATGACGCCAAACGAATAGCAAGATGTCTTCGGGTGTTGTCAGGATTTTTCCCCGTATACAATTGTGCTTTGCAATAAAAATGGTAACTAAGAAAAAGTTACATACACGTAGTTAGCTGTCACGTGATATATTCATAAAGCCTCCAATTATTATATTTTTAGATTCGATTAGACTTCTATTATAGTTTACGTGTATATTGGAAAAAGTTTCGGTTCGTTAATTGGAATTCCGGTAGATTTTACTAGAAAGGTATAAATCAGACACTATTAACACATTCTACACTATTGAATATTAAAGAAGCACTGGTGACTCAATCCCTTGAATTAAAAACGAACATTTTACTATTTTTATTTTTAATAACTTGCATGTGAGTCATAATGCAAATCCATTTCCGTAATTAGTTTCTAAGCAACATCCATATTAACGTATATATACTTAATAAATAATAAACGAGATTTGTGAGTTAAGTTTAATACGTTTTCTTCAGTTAAATTAATTTATTTTAAATAAGAGTAGAAATAATTAAAAATAAGTTAAATTGTGAATAAAATTTGAAATTATAAATTTAACAGTCGAGATAATCCAAGAATTTGATTCAAATGATTAGAATTTGTTTTATTTGTACTTATCGTTACGGCCAGGATACTTTTTCCAGTGCAACATATTTTTATGTGTTTTATATTCATGTATACAAAATCAATTATGAATTACATAATTAATCATTTAAAAGATCGTGACACTGCAAATATTGTCACAGAATTGTTTCGCATTAGGCGCAATTAATATTCCGTTATGCGTTTATTACCATTTACGGTAAAATTCCGCACGTACGTATTCACATTTAAATAGTTGTAAGCTGCGTGAATTTCCGAGTGCACATTGTCGGAAGTGAAACTGTGAGAATCGCGCAGTGTCTTTTTTATTCTTTGATCCGACTATACGATATTGATCAATCTGGTCCCCGTTGTTTCGCCGCTGCTTGCGGAAGTGAAACGTGTTGAAGTCGGGCCTTCCTATTTCAGAAAATGCACAGAATGCACGTACTGTGCATTCGCACAACAATATCTAAGCCTAAACTATCGAAGAATATCTAAGCCATCATTTGCACTTCGCGGTTTATCGATCAATCCGATTCATCTTAACTATAATACAAGCTTTTCACCGCAGGAAACCTGTATTTCAGATCGTCGCCTTTCGTACGCCGGATATCGATGTCAGTATTATCCGCCTCTTGAGAGCAATCGCGAGCGTAATTTCGCTCATTCACCTCGCGAATTTTTCGCGAATATTAAGTCGGCGTCGTGCGCGAGCGACGATTCGATCCTGATGCTTTATTTTCGATTCGATCTGCTAGAACGAATTGCGGAAAGAAAGAGAAAGAGAGCGAGAGCGCGAGTCAGAAGAAGAGGCGCATGGGAAAACCAGTTTTCCACGCGCCGTGTCGTTTCCACGCAGTTGAATACGAGATGCATTAACAGGGACTGCCTTACTCGTCTTGCGCCATTTACCTTAACGACGTCGACTTTTCTCCGGCGCTTTTCGCATCGCTCTTACTCAACCCGGGCTAGCGGTACTACCGGTCGATCGACACGGACGGGTCGCGTGTGCAGGTTGGGGCACCTGCTCTTGTACCGGTGGTGAATGGAAGAACTTACTTTAGAAAGACGCATCCCAGACCATCCTCTCTCTCTTCCGTATGGTCTCTCCTTCTCTTTCTCTCCTTCATCCCGACACGACTGACACGAGGTTAAGCCACGTCTAACTGTAAGATAATCGGTCTGCTCGTTCGGATCGTTCGGTCAACTCGCGTGTGCGTTTACTCTCCTCTTTTTCCGCCCTCTCCCTCTTACTTCCCGAAGCTACGTACATTCTTCGTTCATCAATGGTCTCGCGAATCGCCGTCCTTTATCAGATAGGAGATGTTATTAAGCAACAGCATTTTTTTTTTATTATAATATAAACGGAGGAATTATATGAACTAGTACATGAAATTAATGACATTTTATACGATATTCTCTCTCTCTCTCTCTCTCTCTCTCTCTCTCTCTCTCTCTCTCTCTCTCTACTCTCTCTCTCTCTCTCTCTCTCTCTCTCGCGCTCTTTCTTCATCTTATCTCGCTAGAGAGAAGAAAATGCAACTCTTCTCTATACTATGTATTTATAGGGGTTTTTTTTAGTGAGGAGAGATTATCACGGATGAAGTTGGCTCGTAAAATGTACTTTTTACGGAAAAAATATTAATTAGATGTATACTAGGCGTTAAAATATGGCGAGTTATGCAAAAGTGTAGTATTGAAGAGTATTTAAGGGGCGGATTCTGCAACATATAATATTTGTAAATTGATCACTCTCATTAACGTTTAATTAAAATCCTTAATCGTCTTATGCAAAGCGACAACGAATTGGTATGCGAAAGCGTACTTTTGACGCAAATGGTTTAAGGGAAATTGGAACTGGTTTGTAAATTAATCCTCTTAATTGGTCAATCGTTTTACACAGTATTTAAACCTGGCTCATAACTGTATCAACATTTGCATTCATTTATGTTTTGTCTTATTTCTTTTTATCCCCCTGCACATTATAATTTATTTGTTTGTTTTCGTTAGAATCATTATCTCATTATGTAATATTTTATGTATATTTCAATTAGTATGTAATTAATTATTACTTTTCTACGTTTTTATTCTTATTATTTCAATTTAATTAATATATTGCTAATCCTTACATTGCGTAAGAAATATAGTGATAGAATTCATTGTGCTTTTATACTTATAAACTTCCTGCGAACTGTTTGATCTGTCTAGCTGATTAGCTTATCTTTCTGAAAGTCATATTATGCTTTAGAAACAGCATAATTCTTATTGCTCTCATAAAAATTTACGGATTTATGGCACTCATTCAGCTTTACGGATCCAATTAGATCCCACAGTATCTCTCAATAGGATTTCAGGCAAACATGTTAGATAATTGGTCCCGCTTTCTGATCCTTCCAGATGCAAGATGAATGGCGAATCGTGCACACCATAGAGACGCCAGGTCGGCATAGAAATGGGCAACAACGGCAGCAGCTCTCATCAATATTGCGCGTCCAACGGGCCAACGCAGGAGATTGCTGGACGCGGGTGGACACAGTCTTTCCCCCGGGAGCTGGGGAGGCATCATCCTCAGCAGCCGACAGGACACAAGGTCCTGCCGGAGCCGCCCAATCAGCGGCTACGCGCCACCAATAATGGAAGCATCATTCACAACGGGGGAACCATAAGTGGCCGCAGGCCGCCGGCCCTCACGCTTCCGCACGACCTTAATAAGGTAAGGATTCGCGGCGGCTTTTCGAGTCGCGCTGATGACGTGGCGTACCATGCTCCCCGTGTGCCGCAAAATGCGAGCCGCCACACGATCCGTTGTAGTTGCATGCACCATCAGCGGGTGCGCAGAAATTTGTATTACCAGACACCACAGATTCTCATGCGATTGTGATATTTCATTTTTGTTGCTAACAATAGCAGTTTGAGAAATGTTTGATATGTATAACTATTTTGCTGTAACTAACGTTAGAAAACTTTTTACTTTTTCATGTAAAAATAATTGTGTTCTAATTAAAATTTGGAATAACCAAATTTTTTAACTAAATGAAAAGATAAGAAAACGCTCTAGTCACATGTATCAACAAAATAAATGGTTCTATGCACCAAAACATTTATCTCAGTGTGGCGGATAAAGACAGAGATAGTAATACTAAATTAGATGATATGTTGTTCATGAAATTCAATCATGCCGATTTTTGCTCAATATGACGTTATGTCTGATTTATGATAATCATTTCGTTTGGGATAAACCAAAGCACCAAGGATAAATAAAATTTTCCTCGCGTTTAACACGAGACATATTATCACTTTTGTTTTCAATTCACTTCGAGAACGGAGTGCCTGCTTCATCGGAACGCCTCCACAAAAAGATATGCACGTGATACAAACCGCTTCGATTCGAAGAGTGTGATATTCCGGAGCAATAAATGCCCCTCCACAGTGATCGGACAACTAGAAGTGTTCATAAGAAAATGAGAAATAAAAAATATTTTTATTCTTATAACTATCACCAAAATTTTTCATCTTTTCAGCTCGTAGTTTTTTATATGTAAAAATTACCAAACTCAAAAAATATAGTAATCTTTCGAAAGTGGAGATTTTAAGCTTTAAAACTTTTTTGAAATTTAAATTTTGTTTACTTTTAACGAAGTTATATATATATATATATATATATAATAATTTTGAGCTAGAAAATTGAAACGATTTTTCCGAACAACCTAATATTTTCTCTGCTCTTTTATTTCGGTTTGCCGAATAGTTTAATTTCCTGATTTCGTGTCTGACCAATCCTTTTTCTGTCTCCGCAGACGCGTATTTCCATTATCTATGTAGAATTCTCATGTCGGATAATGCGCATCCATGAATTCGTCTTTTGGCTGGGCGCCATGTGTCGTAACCCGGTTAAGATTATTCTATAGAGTGCCTTTTTACCGCGAATTCGCTAAATGTATCACACGGCCTTCATCGAAGGCTTTGTGCCGACGATCGCACAGAGACGACGGTTTCTCATCCGCCTCGCTTTGTCACGGTGCTTCTATTCTCTATAGCGCTCTTATTACACGCATCAGAAGGAAGTCGCGTACGTAAATCAACAGTATACTAAGAATAAACGTAATACTTTACCGTTCTACCTTTATGTAATACTTATAAGAGATAAAAATATTCTCTTAACCCATTATACATATAATTACTAATTAGAACTTTTATTATGAGACAGACGTAAATATTATATTTTGTTCATTCCCAGTTCGCGCATTCAAAGCGGTTGAGATCTAGATTGTCGTAAATTCGTATAGTTAAACAATGCAAAGTAGATCAGAGATTCAAGTCAGGATTTAAGGATGTCCTGGTTCACATCAGTTAGAAATACCAATAAATTTGCAAATAAATATTACAAAGCGCGATTTTACATAAAGATCAAAACGTTAACAAAAATATTAAATAATCTTTAAACCATATAAGAAATGTATTGAAATTTGCACAGATATTCTAACATAATAATAGAACAATCTGTGATATTTGTGGTAATGCTTTGAATTGTGACACATATATCCTTAAAGCTCTGCCCCCTCGTTTTCCAGCAGGGAATATTTCGTAGCCGCAGCACTTCGGCATCGAACATCGGCGCGTCACGCAGCCGCAAGATCGAGCATCATTGCTGCTATTACGGGAATGGGTCGAGATGTTGCATGGAGAACGAGATGCAGGAGCTCAAAAGATTCGGCAGCGAGCCCGATCTGCGGTACTCGCCGATGGCGCGAGAGGCGGTGCGTTGCAACGGGAAGCAACAGCAGCAACATCAGCACGCGATGGAGCACCGGCATTGCGGAAGCGGGCATTATCCCGAGCGAGAGTGTAGAGAACGAGAGAGCCGGTACAGGGGCAAGAAGAAATACAAGGCACCGGCGCCGCCGACGAACGGCGTCGTTGACGGATCATCTCCGGATTCTTACAGGTACGAATACGGAGTATTGCGTTTTTGTCTCGAGTTATCATTATTTAATTTACAAGCCTGTAATCCCAAAGGTTCCATTTGAATTAATAATACCTCTGTAGACATTCTTTCTCTTAAGAGATTGATAATTTATTACCGGAAATATATATAATATCGATAAAAATTTTGCTAATTGCGATTTCTCTTTATCGACTACACGAAAAGAACAATTTTGCTAAAGTATCTAAAAATTTAGGTAGATATAAATTTGAAGATATATATAATTTGGGATCAGCAAAATAATTATGTATAAGAAACTGAAGCATGATGAGAGTAATGCAAAAAATTTTGACATTTTAAAAATCACTTTGGGAGTTCTACATAATTATTTTGATAATTCAGTAAAATAAAGTTAATAGCTTGAGCTTACGGTAATGTCCCGCAGCAAATAATAAAATAAAATAAAACAATATAAGGCATTGAATATATAATGTTTATTTAAAAACGTGAAAATTTACATTTAATAATTAAATTCAAATGTTTTGAGTTCGAGCTGCACAAAGCCTTCATCAATAATATTTTGTATTAATTTATCAATAATATTGCTAAAAATTACATAAAGATTACATAATGATTGACAATATAAATATACTACACTAAGAAAAACATAATAAATTAATGTAACACATCTAGAAAAATGTAATAAAGCAACGGGCATGTCTTTCTCTTCAGGATTAGTAAAAAAAACAGTCTAAAATAATCTATGATTTTAATATGTTTTAAATGTGTTTTTTTACGATACTATTTAAAGTATATTTGAAGCATCAATAACACGTTTAAAAAAAACATTTTATTTTTAAAAAAGAAAAACATCTTTGTCAACCCTGTTAATAGTAAATAAGATGATTTTCAGATGTATGTATATTAAACTATTTATATACTTCAGCAAAGTCGTTCTTTCTATGTATTTAAATTATATTAATAGAAAATTAATTTTTTTTATATTGATGCTAGTCTAAAACTTTTATTTTTCGATATAGGAATGTTATCTCTAGATATAATGAATCCGGCCAGATGCGACCGAATGGTTGTCGCGGTGAAGAAGAGATTCAACCGCCACCGAGGCGGTCGCGCCTCTTCAAGACGCGAGCGGAGACGAAGAGAGCGCAGGTCAACTGGCTCTCTTCTTCCTCGTCGTCGCAGACTCATGTTGTCACAGAACGCTGTGAGAACGGTGGCAGCGGGTTAGACAACGAGCGACGGTGGCGAGGTGAAGACGGACGCGCTGCCAATAAAGAGAATAGGCTCGTCTGGCGGGATCAGAGTAATCATCTTCATCAGGATCGCTGGTGCCGGGACGAACATAGACGTTCACGCATCTTTAACGGCAAGAATACGCTGCAGAGGAGCATGAGCAGTCCGGAGTTCCAAGCGGAGTTGATGCAGGTGGCCAGGAAGGTGCGCAACAAGCTCAACTGCGGCGGCAGGTCCTCCGTGGAGTCGATGAACTTGGAGCGTAATAGCGACATTGATCGTTGCACGAAAGAGTCCAAGATTGAGGAAGTGAAAAGGCCGGAAAAACGATCAGCGAGGAACGAGGAGAATTGTCCTGAGGAACGTGTGATCGAAGACAGAATCGTCGAGGAGAGGCGACTGACCGATCGTTGTAATCGATCCGAAAATAAGCATAATGAGCGTATATATGATGAGCGTAAAGAAAATGCCCGCGAACCCGGGAGGACTAAGGACTACTTGGAGGAGAGGCAAGCGGAGGCTGTATCAGGCGGAAAGAGACGACTCGTCGAAAAATCAACGATGTTCAATGAACTCTCTGCAATGCACCCGAAAGAACCTCTTCGGAAAAATATAAAAGATCGCCTGGATGCAATGGGGCATTCCTCCGGAGAAAGGTTTTCGTCGGAGAAGCACCGAAGAGAACTTCTTGAGGATTATCAACGAGCCAAGAGTGTCGTCAAGAGCAGGAAGTATGAAAATACAACGGACTCGGGTAGAACTAGATCGGAGAGTCCGGTGAGACCTTACATCAGGGTCACAGATCCTCGCGGGCAGGGCTCCGGGAGGGAAAGCACGCCTGAGCGAACGAGCGAGGCTAAAGAGAGAGAGAAAGAGAGAGATCCCGATCGTAGATGGCGGAAGAGCGACGTTAGGAATACTGATGGCGCGCCGGATGAAAAGAGATGGTCCTGCGAACCTGTTCCCGCCACGGCGGAGAAGAAAGATGCAAAATCCAAAGAGAAGCTCGCGAGAAAACCAGAAGCTAAGGAAGTCGTCCGCGAGAAAAATTGGCACGTGTAAGTTTGCTCTTGCATCCCGGATCAATTTATCTCTCACTCGCGAGTCGCAGATGTGTACGCGTGCATTAAGCGATTCCGGTAGTTATTTTCCTTATCAGTCTCGTGCGTGCGCGCGGATGCGTGTATGCACGCAATTAGTTTTCCACTGACGACGAATGAGCGATAACTAATTTAACGCATTCATTCGTAATCATCACGTAAATATGATATGTTCTTGGTACTGTTTCTCTAGATTACCATTGCCGGAGAAATCTGCTCCGAAGACCTTCTACTTCGGCATGGACGAAGCATTATCGAATGAGTCCCGGAATTGCGTGGACCAACACATGGAGCAAATCCAATCCAGGTTGCAGACCAGAGAGATCAATGGATCAATCGAATGTCATGACTACACGGATGATGTGAGTAACATGTTTCTCTTATTTTACTATAAATGTTCTATACCTAAATAAAATTACAAGATCGTCGTTTAGTGTCTTTCTTTATTAAAAAAAAAAAAAAAAAAAAAAAAAAATTTTTTTTTAATATACCGAATAAATGCAATTTTTAGGGGAAAAGCGGAATCGAGGACATTTCATTAAAATTGCGACCTACGTTACCCAAAAAACAGCTGGAAATTCCGCGATTTTCACCATCAGCAGCGTGGAGATTATTGTCGGCTTTAGAAGCACCTGGCCCAACCATGAGCACAGCGAGCGAGGAAATTCCGGTAAGTGCGCAAGGAATTAGAATATCTTGACAGTTAGTAGTAAATAGTTCGCAAAAACTGTGAATAGAATTGAAGAATTGTAAAATATGCAGAGAGAAAGAGAGAGAGAGAGAGAGAGAGAGAGAGAGAGAGAGAGAGAGAGAGAGAGAGAGAGAGAGAGAACGCTTCTGGTTAAACTATTGAACTGTTTGATGTTCAACTTACTTAGGTGATGTTCGAGGAACGTATCGAACGTTTGTCGAGGCCGCCACCGCCGCTGATTGCGCTTGGTCCGCGAAGCTCGCACGATAAGTCGGGCGATTCCGGCATATCCGGAGACGCTGGTGCGGCCAATGACGATTCATTGGATGTCAGCACTAATACCAACAACAACCGATTGAAGACACCGGCGACGAGACCGACATGGACGCCGCAACAGGACTTAGGCGAGGAGTCCAGCAGTGATGCGGGGGTAGATTCACCGCCACCGATGCCGACCCCAGTGAAATTCCCACCCAGGGCGCATGTATTCTCGTTATCATTGCCGCGTGACGACAGTCGTATGTATTTGTATAACCCGGATTTGAAGAAGGAGGGCTCGACTTTCAACTCGCTGCAGAAGCTGAAGAGATCAGTATCGGGCGCCCTCGGACTCGGGCCGCTGGACTTAGAGAGGAAACGTACTCGCGATGTCCTCGACGACAACTGGTTGCTGTCAACAAGTGCCCCAACGTCGCTGCAGCATACTCAGATCACAGATGTCACACGATCCTCACCACCCGGCTGGAAGCCTGGCTTTGACGACGAGGATGATGATGAAGTACTGGTGGAAGATTTGGAGGATCGCGGCGACTTCCCCGTGATCATGAAACCTCCTTCGTTCTCGTATTTGGCTTCTGGCGGTCATGTAATGTATCTGCCTGAATCCAATGACTCTCATTATCAGACGCAAAGTTTGAGCTACAGGAGCAACATGGCAGCGGAAAGCGAGAAGAATTCCGGTAACAGCTCCGGACCAAAGTATCGCAAGAACGGCGTGGACGAACTCAGGAAATCGAGCAAGGATGTAGAGAAGACAAACAAACATTCCAAAGAATCAATCATACTAAAAGAAAAGTCTTTTGCTAACGAAAAAGTGAATAATAAATTTTCCAAATCGTGTGAGAACATTTCCGAGATGAAACAACGAAGTACTTCGCCCATTGGTGGCCAACAGAATTTGCAAGATGATAAGGAGATTGCTCCAGAAGTCAAGACACCATTAAAGAGCAATTCGAAAGGCCGTAGATTTACATTCCAAAGTACTGTGCGGCAGATTGAGAGGCGCAGATTGGCGGAGAAGCTATCGCGAGAGGCTGAAGCCAAGGAAAGACAAAGGAAAGGCGAGCTGGAGGCGATGCGTAAGGTAGAGGAGGAGTTCCAACGAAAACGAGCCAGAGAAAAGGCAAATATCAGGCAGCAACTTCGCTTGTACAGCATGGATGAAAACCTGAGGTAAGCTTTTAAAATACTTAAAATTAAATGTTTAGTATTCTTAGATACTTAGATGCTTCTAATATATAATTTCGTGTAAATTTATATACTATGTATGTAGATTTTTTTCCCTAAAAATGCTGAAATTTTTTTCAGACTTACAACGCAAACTCTAATAAACTACCACAGTACTATCACGAGTTAAATTGGCTAACAATTTAACAATATTGATGTTCATAGCATCTTGGATCTTAATAATGCTGAATGACATTAAAATCTATTTTTAGGAATTCACATATTTAAGAATCTATATGTAGTATATAAATTCACACGAAATTGTATATTAGAAGCATCTAAGATCAGTATGATTGTGACGGCATATTCTCATCAGTACTTATTAGTTTAAACTCTCATAGTCCAATAAGATTTAATACTCATAGATACATTGAATTTTTCGATCAAGTTTTGTGTTTAGCTGTAAATAAAATATATAAAATGTTATTATTCAAGTTTATAATTAAATATGAAAAAGAATATAGCTTTTTATGAGAATATAATAAAATGTATAAAGCTTTTTAACATGTAGATAAACACTCTTTAATTATTTTTATTAATAGTTTAATTTTCAGAATTGCGAAATATTTGTTATTAACAATTTATTTCAATTACAGTAGCTTACCTACCGTGTGGGACAGTTCTCAGTTATCTCGTGCGGACCCGGACGGCGCGCCATCGTCATCCGCATCGTCACCCACGTCAGTCCCACCGGCAAAACTGACAACTATACGAAAGAGCAGCGTTAGCAGCGATGAATATTTGCGTAAAAGAGCGTCCAGCGTAGATTCCAGACAGCAACAGCAGCAACAGCAACCAAGGGAGTACAAAGATTATCGGCCAAAGTATTACGATTGGGCGCCCACCGACTCGTCGTCGCATCTGGAATATAAGCAAACCACGGTACATCCTAAAATAGTATGCGACATTCCCAAGAGTTCGCCCGTCTTTGTAGATGCACACGCGAACGTTAGTAAAACGGCGAATGTCAGCTCCACACCTAGATCTGACAATTACAGGTAAATATAATAACGAAAGCGATTTTAAATTATATGAAATAACTTCTCAATAAATCCAAAAATTAAAAGTTGAGTTTCTATATTTAACTTGTACTTTTTCAATTTATATTATACTTGAAGTGCACAATAATTTTTTGCAACAATTTAAAATATTTTTGTTTAAACTGAGTTAATTAAGAAAATGATAAGTAGAGAAACATGTTGTAAAAAAAGGCTCAAATAATTCGATAAAATGTTTTATTCTTTATATTTATCACGTAAAATATTCGATAGAGAGAGGAAGAAAGTGAGAAGTGAACGCGGTGTTTTCATACGTAGGCTACGAAAGGATTAAGGAGGGTAAAGGTCTCCTCCGCCATGCAATACACATATACAAAGTGTCTGTCATTCCGAAGAGTCTTTGAATTCACTTTCACTCACATGCTCGCGGCCATGTTAGGCTCGCGTACAACAGCCCGCGATTGCGAGACGAAACCGCTAATGGCGAATAATCTTCTAACGCATTACCCAACAGGAAAGATTTTGCTCATGGAGCCGTGGCGGCGAGATCCTCCTTAGCGAGCAGCGACAGTGAGCTATCGCAACCGAATACGAGACCGCATTCCAGGCAAGCCGTCAGCAAGAGCAAACCCATACGGTCTAGGTACGTTCGACACAATCTGGTCCCCTTGACTTCTGCTTGAGATAACGATTTCCCGTCCCTGAGAATGTTTCCCGAAATAATAACGATGTCGACGCGAAATGCCTGTGAACAGGAGGTTTTCCTAGCTTTGAATGACGTACATAATTTTTTATACATCCCGTATACTGAAGTGAGCGCGAACAATACATAATTCTTTTTCAATCCTGTTAAAATAAAAGGTAAAATATGACAGACGTTAATCTTCTTTATGATTGTTTTCAGAATTTTTCTACTTTAAAGTAAAAAATTAATTAAACTTATTTTATTTATTTTATAAATTTACGTTAAAAACTTTTAATTTTTTGTTGTTTTTTTTATAAATCCAGCGATGTGTTTGCATTCTTTGATATTATTCTTAAATATTTTCTATATAATTTTTTAGATTTTTTTTGTGCTCGTTTCAGTATGCATAAAACTTATAGCTACAGTTTATTATCCCGATAATACAGTCAGTATTCAATGTGGCAGCTTAGCTTGCACTTCCGTTGCAAGTTAATAAATATGAGTATTAATGTTTGCTAAACATACAGTATTACTGAAATCTACTAATCGCACCCGTAGGTAAGAATTCGCGCGTATCGTGCGACTACTAATTTTTGGCTTTCTGATTTTTTATCGTGCGCAGGTTTTAAGGTGGGCGTAAAGTAAGTAGTCTTAACACCTCTAGTCATCTAACAACGCTTCATTAAACCAAGCCAAGCAAATATGGTCGCGCTTCTAACTACGTATTGGGCGAGGATGGCACATAAGTGGCAAGCATCGTGCGAGAATGGGTAAACCAACGCATCACAATTGTCGAACGCGTTACGTACATTTGAGAAAAAGATCGTCGCTCCGCTATATTGCGTCTTGGTTTATCTTCCAACGCGTTGAACGCCAGCCAACGTTCTCCGAGTCTTGCGTCTCTATAAAGACTATGCTAATATTTTACTAGATTCTCAACTCGCCTAGAATAGATGTTTGCCTTGACGTTCAGCGCGTTGACAAATACAGCAGAGGCGTCACATGTGCTCGATCGTAAAATATTGATCTTGTACGAACGAAAGTGGTATTCTTTCAAAAAGGAAGGCCCTAAAAATTCTATGAAAATTATATAAGTATATGTTGATACACCAATGATTATAAATTTGTTAATTTATAAATTTGTAGTTGCATAGAAATATATTATATAAATATATTATTTGTGTAAGAGATCTTTAGAATTCATATTATTATTTCTGGAATTATATATTGTAAATTTATGTAAAATCTTTGAAATTTTTTAAAACATCGAGATACATTATTTAGGTGGCTTATACCATAAAATTACTTTTATATATAAAAATTACTATATTATTTATATTGAGTTTTCATTACAATGCTCTTATAATGAGAAATTAATCACGAGTCGTGGCGTTCTCTGCTGAAACCAAGATAGGGAAAACGGGGAAGGGGTGTCGAAATAGAGCGAAAAGAGTAAGAAACGATTAATCAGGTCGGCTAGCCCAACACGCAGCGAGGAAGCCATCAGCACAGAGGATGAGACCCCGGTGGAGCCGGTCAAACAGGAACGAAGCCTTATAAATGGCTTCATATTGAACGGTGTGCAGCCTTTCGTAAGGGAGAAGAGCTACCGACCCATTTCATTCAATCCCCAACCGCCTCCGCCTATTCCGAGTTAGAAGCCGTATTGTGGATCTTAAAGAGTACTGTAGATCTTAACAAAATTGTGTAAAGAGAATTCGATACATGTTATTCATATATTTTCTGACGTACGTGAAATGTCGAATCTAGAAAATTTGTTTCGTGGATCCTTCCTCGGTCTATATTATATCTGAATTAAAACGAAAATCGTTCATATAGATCGACAATTTCGCGTATGTCAGCCCGTTAAATATTAAGCCGAAGGATTTTTACGAAACTTTATGAACGAAGATTTTATACCGTTTTACAAAGAAGTAGTTTTTTATACGATTTATAGAATGTTTTCCGAGAATCTCCCCTATTCTCTGCGAGCGTACATAGCGCAATCATTCGTCGCGCAGCATTCTATGTACGTAAAACTAATGTCAAGTAATATCTAAATCTTTATATGATGTGTAACAAGTAACACGATCTAACTCCTAACCAAATGTGTTCCGTACGATTCTCTGTACGTTCATCTACTATTTATGTTTGTCGTAAGTATATTAACAAAACAGAAGCGGAATCAAAGATCATAAACTTATTCATGCGCGGCGCATCGTTTTATAGCCAATTATAAAAACACGTCGCGGGGAAAAATACCAATAATACCGGGTGTATACATTTACTCAAACGGTTTAGGGCAGTATTTTGTAATTATGTACAGGTAACAATCGCAGGCAACTGCAAATATTTGCTCATGTAATGTAATCAAACAAAAGATAATGTTGTTATTAACTGCGTGAATTTCTTCTTTTATCCTTGCCCCGCTACCTTCAATCGACATCTTCAATAGAGTGAAGTTGTGTGTGAACGAGTTAAGTTAAATGAAGTTTGCAATTTTTATATTATTATATGTAAAGAAAAAAATGTTAATCTTAATTTTCGTATAGTTTTCAACGTTTGTTTGAATTTTATTTTTCTTCGCGGTCTTTGATCTCCTCGCATTCAAATTATTTTGTAGTTAGACAAATAAGACACGATAAGCGTGGATTTCAGATCGATCGACAATCATTTGTTTTACTGTGTCTACTTGTTCACACATCTTGAGAAACTGAAGAAACGATAAGAAATGAGTTCGTCGAGTCTTCCAAGGAACGTTGCACCATCGACTTCCTCTTTGGCTAATATGTATGTTTTTTATTGCATTCTTTCTTGATAAAATTATATTATTTTATATATATAGGTATTTAGATAACCAAATTTTTCGAAAACGAATTTTACAAAGTGTCTATTATAAATTTTTTTGGCAAAATGTCAACAATTTAAGAAAATATAATTTGCTATAACAGAATACAATCAATTGAATGTAGAAATATGATAGAATCTATTAACAGAATATGATGGCAGATTGATTGCAGAAGCCGAGCAAATCTGTTATTTCATAATCATTTAAATGAAATAACAGATTCTATAACAGTTGACTGTATTGATGGAATATTAACTCCTAAGTCTTAACCGAGCAAGGCGGGTCCAGAGAATATCATTTTTGCACTAATCTTTTTTATTTTTTTATTTTCCAATGTTTTAGAGCGTTGATTTATTTTAATAATTCGACGAACTTTGCCAAGCATTTCACTATAATATTTCCGATATTGAAATTTGCATTTTATTTTAAACTTTGTCTAAGAAATAATAGGGCTCTACTCGAACTACCCGATTATGTAGCTAATGCTTTTTGCCCGATTAAGAGTTAATGAAGACACGGTCTGTGCCAATCTGCCGTGATATGGAAAGTTGCTATGTTGCAAAAAATTTTACTTCCTGAATTGTTTTTCAATAGTTTGTTGTATTAAATGACAAATAATACCGTTACTGTATCTCATTAATGTACAACATATTTCACTATAGACAAGTGCACTTCGAATCAATATTGAATGAAAGTAGCAGCGATGAAGAAGAACTCAACATAAATATTCCAACATCGCAATCAGGCGTACCGGTACAAAAGCAGCAGAGTGCTAGTGGCTCTGCTGTACAAAACGACAATTTTACGGACAGAGATGAGGCTCGTATCAAATTTCGGAATTTTTTAAAAAGATCGCAATTTCTTTTTTCTCCATGTATTCTTTCATTTAATTATTATTTCTTGGTATAATTTCTTCGTACAAAAACAAATACGACGTAAACGAAAAGTACGTTATTAGCGAATTTGATCGCTGTTATTAATTGAGATTTTTAAATATCATTTCGAGTTCATACTTTGTGAATCTTATATAAGTGCAAGTCGCACCTTCGCAGATCATTTTGTCGATGATCTGGTCGAACAATCAATTGGGCGCGGCATACTACAACATCCTCACGTCCGAATTGTTCGTGATGGACGATACTTGTGACGACGGTGTTCACTTCAACATCGCGAGGGCCCTGTACAAGCAATGTCAGCCGCGCTACGTCATCACGATCTCCGGCACTTCCGACGAGTTCCTCACGGCAATCGAGGCCCTGGTAATGTCGGAAATGTCGAGCGATCGGAGCAGGTCGTCGGGAATGAGCTTGGGGCCGTCGCAGGTCTCACTGCGGGTGATGCGGAAGAGGGAACACGGCTTCGACAGATGCTATCACAGAGTACGATGTCTCAAGCTCCGGTCCGAGCCGACGAACGCCAACAACGTCGAGAGGCTTATCTTTCTCCAGGGCCTGTTGAACTTCAAATCGATCGTCATGATCCATGCGCTGGGTCTTCTCTTGATCTACATTGACCAGCATTGGAGTAATATCGCATTAGATCCTTCCGGCAGGCCTGGCTTTATATCTCTGTCTAGCGTGACGTTGTGAGTTTCTCCAATCTAACGATTATAGGATTAAATACTTTAGGCACGGTACCCTGGTAGTAGTGAAGTTTAATTTGCCAATCCTTAGAGAATGTTATCCTAGAGAAAGATCCGAGTCTTATACCCTCTCTGTTTACAAATTTACTAAATGTATATGATGCTGTTTATATTATTATATTTAGCACAAATTGTATCTATAACAGTTTTAAATTGTTTTTATAATAAAATTTGTTTGTAATTTTATATTTATCTAAAGAATATGCTATATGATAACATATCTTATAGTATATTCTTTAGATAAAATAATTATTATAAAAATAATTTAAAACTGTTACACATACAATTTTAATTGTAAATCATTAAATAGAATAATAATGAGATATAATGTATTGGAATGTCAGAAACGTTCAAATGACAGAAAATTTGTTAACATTCTCCTCCGAATTTATTGTAACAGTTTACAATATTTTACAATATTTGTTGGCCGTCCCGAAAGACTTTCTAGCTTTATAATAGATGGATGCTTCTAACAAATTGCGTTTTATTCACGCTTGGTCGTACGTTTATTTGTTGCACACGGGATTTCGTAGACGTGACATCGTCATGATAGATGATGACACTTACGAGGCGTTGAATATCGTGCATGCCAGACATCACCCGAGCCTTTTCAAGTGTGGCGATGCAGCAGCAAAGAAGCAAAGTGGCAGCTTATTCATCCTCCTGAATCGTTGCCAATCGCGACCTGGAGCGCAATTTTTATGGCACGTTATCCTCTCATCTTTTATATAACTTGTGACGTTATTGTATTTAACTCAGAGACTCTTTTATAGGAAAACGTTGCGACATCCCACTCGAAATATCGAGATTCTTAACGAAAGATTCGAAGTCATCGAATTCTGTTTGAATCCGGATAACCAGAGTATCGTGGAAAATCTGACGTCATGTTTAAAACACATTTACAACTTGACTAACGTTATGCTGGATCGATATTTAGCGCAGCGAGCAAAAGTTTCTGATTGGCGACGATTGCATAAGGTCTATCAGACTTTTCAGTTTTAATCTGCAGATAGCGCAATAATTTATCTGCGGTATTACGCTCGCATATTCTACTTTGTTCTATTTTGTGTTGTATGTCGCAGACGATTTCCTCTATAATTTACATCGCTGACATATGCGACAAACATTGTAAGAAAGTAAGGCTGTTCAACAAAATCGTCAACAGTATCACGAATGAAATGCGTTATATCAAGTATTTCATTGAGTACATAGTGGACTTTGGTGCGAAAAAATCCGAGAATAATTTCATCGTACGCGCAAATGTGGATTCGCACTTGGACAACCGTAAGCTGATTTTGAATCCCTGAACCTGTCATTTTGTTCTTTATCGAATTTTTCTAATATATGATCACATCGTTTGTTTATTATGTGATCAAAAAACTCTAAAAAATAAATTTTTATAGAGAAATAATTTTACAGTAACAAACCAATGCCTGTCTCCATCGATATATGTATATCTATTAACTTTAATCTCAATTCACCATTATATTTACGGTCTTCTATAGTTCTAAGAATTAGACTAAGTTAAATCGAACTTAAAATTAATCTACGTTAGTAGAAACAGACGTAAAGTCATCAAATATCAGAAAAAAAATTTTAACTAAAATAATAATTTAAAAAAAATATTAGTAAGAAAATAAATTACTTTTTGACTCGAAAAATAAACCCGAATAAAATGGCAAGAGATTAACCGTAGAGTATAGATTATTCTAGTAATATTGCAGTAACGTTGTGCTACATGGATAATAATATAACTTTCGAAAATTATATTAACATTAATTGCATGGTGCAATATCTAACTGTGCAATATCACATTGCGTATATTACATTATTGCCATTGAAATACAGTACATCACGTGAGAAGCACTTTGCCCGAGACCCTGACACAGATGGGAGAGAAAGACATGAAAGAGCATCTTCCAACCTCGGTAACTACCTGCAAGATGGTGTACATACCGAATATTGGATATCTCTTAGCGGTAACTGGATGGAGCCCAACACCGGCCGACAATGTGGACTTGGAAAACTTAGAGTTCAAATTTGTCAGCAACAACATACGTTATTATAAAAGCCCCAGTGCCAAAGGTTCCGCATTATTTTTCAATTTTTACGACAACTTCAAACTCAGCATCACAACATGCATTTATAATTTCTTTTTATGTCCATTTGAAATTGAAATCGGTATTTTAGAATTGGACGAAACTATAGGAGACATAATAATGAGAATAAATAAGCGGGAAAGTTACATTATATTGAAGCTTGTGAAGTATTTAAATAAACACGCTGCATCGATCTTCAGCGCGATTCAATTGTGCGCTGAATTAGACACGTGAGTGAATTAGATTACATTACCTACAAAGAAAATGCGCGAATTGACGTCAGTGAGAAAAAAAAAGATAAATAGAATTATAATTAATTAGATAAAAAAGAAAAGACAAAACAATTGTTATTAAAAGAATTAAATGCAGTTATAAATATATAAATCAGACCGATAAGAATAAATCAAATAAGAAAAAGAATCCTATTTTCGGTCAAATGATTATTGCGACAAATATTTTCACATATCTCGATGGTCAAATAGGTAAGCTCATCCTAGAAAGTCAAGAGTTCCAGATTCAAATTTTGACTAATTGTAAGACAATATTTTTCACAATATGTTCTTTGCAGTAATTTTAAAATACTTGTTAAAATCAATGATCAATATGTAGTTTGTGATGTTAATTCTAAAACTGAAAAATGTATTCATAAATCTATATATATAGTACGAATATTATTAAGCACCAAGAAACTATTTTCACTCAGACTAAATAGAAATTATTCTGTTATAAAATAAATTAATTATTCATTTTTATTTATTATTAATTAAGATAAAAGAAGAAGCTATAAACTCTTTAAAAAATTTTTAGTCACCTTCTAGTATGAGGATAAAAATAAAGGACTCTGATTGGTTGATTCTACTATGCTTTAAGTATGCAGAAATCTCTGTGCTGCAACTTTTGTTTGAAATAAGGTCTAAGCACAAACAATCCTTTATTTCATGGAAAGAAAAAACTCTGATTGGTCAATTATGCAAAAGTCTGTGCTCCCCGATCTATAGGCTGATACTCTCTCGAGACACTTTTCGCGCTATTGTGCCGATCGTTACAGATTGCTGGCATTTTACGTGGTTGCGCGAGAATACAATTACGTGAAACCGAACGTGGTGGACCGGCAGATCATAGCGGTAGAACAAGGTCGACACCCCTTGCAGGAGTTTCTAACCACGTTTGTTCCGAATGACACTTATTCTGGAGACGGGAAGAGCCTCGTGAAAATCTTGACCGGCCCGAACGCCTCCGGCAAGAGCACTTATCTCAAGCAAGTCGCGTTGATCGTGTTCATGGCTCACATCGGCTGCTTCGTGCCGGCAAAATCAGCCATTATAGGAATAGTGACTCACATCCTGACTCAGATCACGTCTGTAGACAGCATTGCTCTAAATACGAGCATGTTTCTCCAAGATATGCGGCAGGTAAAATAAACAGATAACATATAACGTACATACAAAAACCAGTTTTAATTGGATTGAACATAAGGCGTTATCTGCCAACAATATTACCATATAATTATATACGTTGCGTTTTTATCTTTAATTATATTCACGATATTTAAAATAATCCAATAAGGATCGAAATAGTTGTCATCTCTTATATGTCGTTCTTTGTAACACTTCCATCATTTAGATTGCTCCACTTGATGCTACAAATGTTTTGAAGTATTATTCTTTGATTGGTCTATTAGTAAAAGTTTCTTTCTCTTTTGATTGATCAATCAAATGCTTCGAAGAACTAGTCCAAGCCTTTAGAATGATGTTCTTTTTGTATTACTCTACTTCAGTATATGTGCGTGTGTGATTCTTGATGTTTATTATTCGGTATTAAAATTTAACTTTTTATTAATTCTCTTGTTTGAATTTTAATCTGTTAAGTCTTTATTTCTATATTAATTTAATTTTTATAAATAAATAATATTCTGCACAAGAAGCACAAACCTTCTCAGAATCGTGATAAAAATTAGGGGCGATTATTTATTTGTCACCCGTGTGAAGCTGGTCCCCCAATATTAAAAAATCAATTTTTTTCTTCATGCATTCGTTTGCTCACCCTTAGTTCAAAAGATATACGAAAATTATGTTTTGGGGGGCCAACTTCACACTAAGGGTGAGCAAATGAAAATTCCAACTGAGCATTCGTGAGCAAACAAATGCATGAAGAAAAAAGTCGATTTTTTAATATTGGGGGGCCAGCTTCACACATGTCTATATGTCCGGATATTCGAAACTTAATCAACGGAATAATATATCTACATATTAAAATGCTTCATTAAAAACAGATCGATATTATTATAATTAATTATCAAATCAATGATCTTTTCGAAGAACTGATTCTCCTTGTCTATCTTTTTAGATAAATTCCGCTCTTTACGCGTCCACACCGAACTCCATTGTTATTTTAGACGAGTTTGGGAACGGAACATCCGAAGTGAGTGGCTTGTCGCTACTCGCGGCCGTATTGAACAATTTCGTCGAGCGAGGTGCCGATTGTCCACACATTTTCGTGGCCACTCACATGCATCGGGTGATGAACATGTTGCCGCAAAGCCCGATAATCGAACAGCAAGTAAGATGTAAAGGCCGATAATTTTCCGATTTCCAATAACACTTATTCGCGACGCCGAAGCGATTTCCTTTCAATTTTTTATTTCATTATTTTTACTATACTTACAGACTTTTGAATTCGTTACAAACGAGGACGGATCTGTGGCATATCTTTATAGTTTAACTCGTGGACACGTGGCACGCAGCTTCGCACATGCTGCTGCACGGAGTGCGGGTTTGGATGAAAAGATTATTAAACGGGCACTGGAGGTGATTGTACATTGGAAAAAGAGCCGGCTTGCATAAATTATATAGTTTCGGTTAAAAATAGACAAATCAGAATTTTTTATTTGAATTTATTTTAGTCGAGGTGACTAGAATTCTCTAATTGATATCAGAATTTTCTGGTTCGTCGATTTTCAATCAGAAACTTTTCTCAGTGTCAATTTTTATCTCACGTATTTTTAAAACTTTTGTTTGTGAAAATTATGTGAACAAATATGAAATAAAACAATTTAATTGGTCTAATTGACTAACTGTAAGAATTCTGATAATAAGATTTTTTTTGCAGGTGTACGAAAAATTTAAGGCCGGAGAGTTACCTTCACGATTACCGGAAGCTAAAGGCCAAGATACGTGAGAATCTTAAGATTAATCATATGTTTACATAATATTAAAATCAAATCCGACGCGATTAAAAATAATTGCGTGATTTTTATATGTTATTGCAGGGCGGTGCACATCATCGAACGATTATTAGAATCGAACAATTTTAACCTAGAAGAATTGAAAACGTTAATCCGTCAAGTCACAGAATCTCCAGCTGTGAAGATAAACAACACATGAGAAATTGAAACCGAAAAGGGGAAGATATTTCTTAAAGTTTGTGTCGAGTTAACACAAATTGCTGAAAAAAAAGATGCTGATAAAAGATATAATTGAAACGTAACCACATGTAACCATTCAGCGTTAATAAGTAATTTAATTCATTAATTATAGATATTAAATTTCATATTATTTACAAAGAAAATCTCTTGATAAAATCTCAGAAAAAGTTCAAGATATTTTTCAAATGACAAATACATTTCTTTTGTCACGATAACGTACCTCATAATTCAATAAACTATTTATATATCAACATGGAAAATATGTAAATCGATTTGCACTCAATTCCTCTATCAGAGCAACATCGAGCAAAGACAAAGAGTGCAATATTATCGGATGTTGATTGCGTAGCAATTCTTTCCCCTTTGCACCACAGATGTCGGAAACGGTTATATTCGCGCCGATCGGACCGGCGACTTCGCGCCGGCAGATGTCGTGACCGATCGGCGCGCGCCGGCCCGGCCGGGAGCTGGCGCTCGCAGTCTTTCCGTTGTCAATAACGGACACTGGCGGTGTTAGCGGTGTATCCCGGCACGAAAAGCGAACCGAACGGCCGTCCCCTCGGACGCGCGAGATACCTAAAAACGTCCGGAACCGCGGGTGCAACTCGGCTGGTACGCGAACGCGCGGATCGTGAGTGTGCTGTGTGTGTGTGTATATATATATATACGCGCGCTCGTGTGCTCGCTCGCGCTGCTGGCTTCGTCGACGACGACGACGACGGCGAGAACGAGGACAACGGCGACGCGGGGCGCGAAACATTCGTGGCCTGGAGACTCGCGGACGCACGGGCGTGCCTTGAAGCCGAGAGAAGAGAACTGCGCGCGGTTCCCGGGGACAGGAATTCGCGACGAGAGACGGCGAAAAAGGAGACAAAGGAAAGAGGAGACCGCGTCGTCGTCGTGGACTTAGACAGAAGAAGAAGAAGGAGGAGGAGGAGGAAGGGGATCGGGATCTGGCAGGCGCCCGACCGGTCGCCGCGCGAGTTTGAATGCGAACGCTTCCGTAACTGTCAACCGTCGATCGCCGTCTCTCGCTGCTCCCTCTTTCATCTTTCTCTCTCGCTCTTATCCTTCCCTCACATACGCACGTTTTTTTTTTCGAGCCGATTAATCCGGCCGCGTGCGAAGCCCGTTTAAAGCCGTGATAGCTTAACGAAAGGCCGGGCCCCGCGTTTTATGGTGCCGAACGAGGTGCGAGGGACCGACTAAATGACCATGGATCACGGTACGTGCAAGATCGACGTCGGCTGCAGCATAAACATCCAGAGGACCGACGGTGAGAATACCAGCCAGATTATTATTGTACACGCGAGCGCGCGATCCGTTTGCTGTGTATTCCCGCTCTCTCTCTCTCTCTCTCTCTCCTCTTTCTTCGCTCTCACGCCGATTCCTTTTATTCCACCGCGAATTTCCGTCTTCCCACTCGTCTTTCCTCGGCCTCTTCTTCTTATCCTCTCCCGCCAGCAGCGCTCTTTCGTATACTCATCGGAGTACTTCTACTTCCCGTTCAATGCTTCCTCTGAGTTCTCCGTCTCTCTGATTCTCTCTCGTTCTTCTTGCAAAGGATCATCTCTCATGTCCATTTCTATTAGGGTTATACTTGTTCCTTTCCTATAGCTCAAGACTGAACTTCTTGCGTGATTCATCTTTTGTCTTTTTCTCTCCAGCGTGATAAGAGGATAAAAGAAACATTAGTCGCGCAAGAAATTCAGGGATGTGGGAAAAAAGCAGGTTTCGTATGATGACAAAATGCACGTAGGTACATTTCTTGAATATAGACTGAATATAGATTATTTCATTTTTAATATTATGTACTTATACAAAAAGTTTACAAGCATACAAACGTATATTTGAATCACAAGAAGAGAGTATATATGCATACTTTTTAACCCTTAAGTGGATAGGTGGCTTTACGCATAATTATCTTAAAAACTTTGTTCAGGAAAATGAAAAAAATTCACAAAAGTTTTAAAGTTCATTATTTTTACATTTCTCTGTCCACTCAAAAATACAAAGAATATAAGTGATATATTTAATTCTATAATATTATTAACAAGTATAATTATAAAAATAACATTTCTCTTCTGAGCACTCCACCACTTACTTAAAGGTTAAACAAAGATGATATTTCTGGGATGGGAGGAAATAAAATAACTTTTTATGTGTATTAAATGTAGGTATTTAATAAAATAAAATTTCTACGATATAATCTTTATTGACAATTCTTATTAATGTAGTTTCATAAATATATTATAATTTCTCTCAACTAATAATCAGAAGTTTTACGAGCTTAAAAGAGTACATGTATTTATTCTTAAAACAGTATGACGAATAATTCCAATTTCTACCAACATTGATTAACGTTAATTTTGGTTTAACTTAATTTTTATATTTTTTTAAATTCTGCACTGAGGAGAAAAACTGTTCATTTTACTAAATTGTTTACTTAACTAAATTAATTTAATTTGCCTTTATTTCGTTCGAAAATGTATGTATTTAAGTACAATGTGTATGTTTGACTTGAAATATACGTACATTTTTCATCGAAGAAAATAAAAATGGACTAGACTAAATTCATTTAATCGAACAAACAATTTTTTATCTCAGTATAAGAATTAGAAAAAGGGGTAAATTAATCTTTGCAGAAAATCACTAATATAGGACTGAAACAGTCACATTTTGAGGCAAGAAATACACACAATGAAGTAATAAATTATAAAAGTCTTACTCAAGAAGAAAAGCTGTAAGAAAATGGATCTCCGTCCTCCAAAGGTTAAGTTTATAAATAGACATTAAAGTTAATCTAAATTAGTAAAAATGATCAGTCTAGTTTCTTTCCTTTCGACTCATTTTCTTTTCTCTTTTTTCCTTTCTTTCTCTACCTTTGTTTTTGACATTTCTCCTTATTTCCGATCTCTTATCCGCTCTCTTTTTGCCTCTCTCTCTTTTCGATCGCGAAACCTGCGGTTTTACTCGTGTGTCTCCGTGTTTTTCCGCGGTTACTTGTCACGCGGCCCGACTGACGCATGACGATCATGCGTGGGCCCAGATCGATCCTTCGGTCGATCGACCGGCCGGCCTCCATGCCCGAACTCGCGTTCCCATATACGGGAAATTTCGATCTTTCTTCCGCAGTTCGCGCGAGTTCTCCCCTTCGCGCCATATTTGTTTTCCTTTTTTCTTGCCAGGATTTCGCTGCCCCCGTCTTTCTTCGCTGTCCTTTGCAGCGCCTTTTCTTCACGGCTTGCCATAAATCGTTGTAAATAATTAAGAACATCGTGAAGCATAACATTCACAATATAAATACATATCGCTCATTTGCTACACAACTACAAACTATCACTTTTAAATTGCTTGCAAAAAAGAATGAAACGTACAGAAAAAAATAAAAAGCCATTTTAAAGATACATATAAAGGAAAGGATGATTTTCCTGAAGTATCTAAAAATTTAGCTAGAGACAAATCTGAAAGTAATTTTGTTGGATCGTAAAAATATTTGTTAGATAATTAAACTGAGAGTGAGACAGAAGAAAATTGCCAGAATGTCAAAACTTTTTGTAACATTATATCTCATATCATGCTCGAAATTTCTATGCAGTTATTTTAAATTCTAATAAATTATTTTCAGATCTGTATTTAGCTAAATTTTGTTTTATTTCTGTGCAATCAATTATTGTGTCAAAATTGCATTTTAAAATTAAAATTACTAAATTTTAACAATTCAGAATACATTTAAATTTTACCATTTTAAAAAATTTCGTTTTTTAAGTTGTGTATAACAAATAAGCAATACATTAAATTATTTAATGATCTTTAAAAAAGTGTGGGTGTGTATTTTAATCAAAATATCGAGATAAAAAAAATTATTCTTGAATAAGTTTGGAGTGAATATTTTCTTGATTAAGATATCAAGACAAGAAAAAGATTATTTTTAATAATTGAAGTTAAATCGTTCTTTCTCGTGAACTAAGTTCGAAATTAGCAGATTGGAACGATCGATTCTTAATTTAGCCAGAAATGACTTGTTAAAAATATATTAAAAATAATATACAATAAATATATATCTTTATATAAGTTAATATATTAAATATTAAATAAAATTATATATGAATACTTTAAAATCTGATTATTACACCAACGTTATTTTAATTTTAAGGAAAACTTAAAACTTTTTCTTTCTCTCTCTCTCTCTCTCTCTCTCTCTCTCTCTCTCTCTCTCTCTCGTCTTTAAAAAGAGAAAAAGAATTTTGAGTCTCGTTTAAAATTAAAGTAACGTTGATGTAAGGCTGGGTCCACAATCTCTCTTTAAGAGGCCAAGCCGTAAAGCCGTAAGAAATTGACCAATCACAGAAAATTATTTTTCTCGCATTCAACTATGATTGGTAAATTTCTTACGGCTTTACGGCTTACGGCCTCTTAAAGCAAAGTTGTGGACCCAGCCTAATGTGACTTAAGTCGAATGCGATGACGGAAATGTGACATATTTTTTAATTATTTAAGATATAAACAGAAAGTACGGTTTTGTTAAAGAAGTATCCAAAAATTTAGCTATAAATACGGATCTGAAAATAATTTTATTGGACTATCAAAATAGTTACGTAGAATTCTCAAGCTTGTTGCTATTATAGATTGTCAAAAACTTTTTGAAGCACTTCTCATCATGTTTGAATTTTCTTCATAAAATTGTGTTGATAATTTTGGTCTAACAAAATTATTTTCAGGTCTGTATCTATTTCTTAATTTTTAAATATTGTAGCAAAATCTTTTTTTCCGTGTAAAGACATCTCGTTAGTATTTTGCGCGCGTTGAATGTATATGATTATGCAGGGACGACTTTAATTTCTGAGAAACACGGGTATGTTAAGTTAGCACCCCAACTATAGTACTCAGGAGTTCTGATTAGAGTTCTCACTTCCTTTTGACGAGACGAAGAGTTCCCTATAGTTAATAACAAGAGTT